ATCCTGGATAGAGTGGGTCTGCTGATATCGTTTAATGGTGCGATGAATGAACATACGATTCGTGCCTTGGCCTGAGAGGTCTTTGAATATCTCTGGTGGTGTTTTTCCGCTGAGATGAAGCTCAATGATGGCTGCACGTTGTGCATTCATTTTGGCACAATAAATGATAGGAACTGATGAGACCATTGCTTCATCTGCAACTTTAAGCTACATGTCCATACAAGTCATACGCCCATAGGCTTGTAAAAAATTCTACCCGGGAGACATTCTATGTGAGTCCAAAGTTTGTAACAGAACTTCTTACGCACCCTGTAGAACTACCCAGTCCATTTGATGATTCTATCAATCTCATATGATAGTGCCATCTTCTTCACTGAGGGTAAACATTGATGGAGTTACAACAACTAACTTCCTTTAGGTCATCTTGAAACTCATGTCAAATCAATGACTTCTTGAATTTTTTTTCCTGAAGTACTCACAAATTGCCAGTAGTAGAGCTTGGTGTATTCAAATTGGTATAGGGTAAGCACCCTGGTTTCTAGTTGGTCTCCAGTTGTTGGCCAGTGAGGTTTAAATCCAGCATAATTAGTAAATCTGGCTGTTTTCAAGCATTCTGTCAACATCTTCCTGTACAAGGACTTATTACAAGTGTTTCCCAGTGTGCACTGGGAAAGTGGGTGTCCACTTCCTATGGGAGTTGTATCAGCATGGCCAAAAACACTGGGGTGTTTACCCTATTACGTTTCTTCCCAATTCAAATCTCTTCATTTCTTCAAAAAATGCTCTTAGTTTCTTCTGTTAACTTCTTTTCTGTTTCTTTCTTTGATTTGCCCTCAACTTCTATTGCAGTTAATAATCATGTTAATCCTGTTTCAACAGTCAATGTTTGCTCCTCAGTTGTTCCCAGTTGCCATGAAGGGTTATGTTTAATTCTTCTCTTCATAGTCAGTTTTTTTCCCATGCAAATTCATTTATTAGGAAAAAATTTCAAAAGGACTAGCATAAAGCCTTGTACATTTTACTGATTTGCTGAACTATTGAAATTTTCCATTTTACCCCATGTCTTTTTTAAAAGGTGAGATGTCATTTTGCAGGGGAAATGAACTAAGTTGGAAGTTTGACCTGGATACTGTGACAGTCTATGGAAAATTTTTCTTCAGAATCAGAAAAAGAAATTGCCTACCAAGTGTCCTCTATTCTTCATTCTTTCATTTTCCATGTAATACTTTATACTTTCTTCTTTCAGCATACCTTGACAGAAGATTTCTCAAGATTCGGGGAACTGGTTTCAGCTGGACACTGTTGATGCACTGTCTATCAACTGGGCATGTTGCTTGGCGACATAGCCACTCCTGAATGCATGCTTGACAGAAGGCATGTTCACATGCTGGAGCCTACAGTAAGACAAGAAAACAAAACACATACATTCCAATTGTGACAGTAATACTATCATGTAGGCTAAGGCTTACCCCTTCACCTGCACAGTGTTCCCAATTGAGAGAAACATAACTTTTTTAAAATACATGTTTTTTTACTGATGGGGAAAACATCTTGAAAATATTGGGTCAGAACCAAAACTGAGCAATAGACCTTTGGTCTTATTTCATTGCAAAATCTTAATTATTATGTCATATTCTAAAAAATGTTGTCTATCTTTATTTAACATCTTTGTCTGAGCTCTTACAAATTCTACCTGTTGCACTTTCAATCTTTGCAAATTTCTCCAATTTAGCAAGAACCTGGAATCACAATGCCATAATTTTTGTAGTTAGATGCAAAATATATTCTCTTGGTACTTTCAAGAAAATGTATGATGTTCTCCTCCAAGGATTTCCATACACCATGCAGTAAAGGATGAACTCTTTCAAGCACAGGATTTCCCAAGCAAAAAATGTTCTACTTGCACTGAATAAAAATTTCAACTCTCAGCTGAAATAGTGGTACAAATTCTGAACCTCCATGCCATAACCCCATATAAAGAGGTGATACAAAAGGAGGGTTCACGTAAACTCACTATAGCGAGTCCCTGACTCATTTTCTTGGAGGGACTCATATTTGCAAAACATCTAAGTCCACGGGACTCATTGACAACCACCTGAACATGTTCCCACTGAGCTGAAGCTAAGCTAGGTGCCAGGACTCAAGATTTTCAAAAGCTAGCATGAACCCTGAAAAGGTATAGATCCACCCTTGTAATTTCACATAAGGAATATAATCCTATCCCAAAAAGATATCAAACTTGCCCCCTGAGCAGAATTTCAAAATACAAGAAAGACTGCTTGATATCAACCGCAAAATAAAGTAATATAATTAAAGCTATAAACGACAATTAACTAACCCAGGCAACCCAGGATGGACCTTCAGGTTGCGGACCCCTTAAACTAGATACCCAGCTAATCTTCATACCTTTCTTTTTTTGTCATGGAAATAGTGTACTCATGCAATTAATATAAGGACATAAAAGGCACACATAATCATCAGTTTAACATATGCAGTACTAAAAACCTGCCTGAATGCCAGAATGTGCCATTTTAGGGCCTTGAGTACTGCTCTCACATTGAAAGTACTAACTGTGAAGTACCATGAAGTGGGGCAACTTGTCACATGCAAAAATTCATTGGGCTACAAGAGAAATTATATCACTTTCAGAAGCTGGTCATCAGTAGGGGTTGCATTTTTATGTTCTGGCATGTGTACTACTTCCAGACAATGAAACAAGCAGAAAAGTAAGTAAAACCTGAAAAATGCCATTCCCAAGTTATTAGTAGAGAAAATACTGTCATGTTCCGATGTTTTGTTCCCTGGCCATGAAATTTGATTAACATGAGATAATGCACAATCCCTATTCATCAGTAATCAAGTTATAGCCATAAAAAAACACTGATGCCAGTGAAACATAGCAGATCACAATAGACAGTCACTACCAAATACAATGTCCACTAAAAAATGCGTAACTGAAGGCATACAAAGGTCAAGTTCTGTTGACCTGACATTGAAATTAGATTAGGTTAGCATAGCATAGGTTTTAGTTATGAATAGCTGCACTGGTTGGGATGCACTCATGAGATACAACCTCCAAATGGTCAAAATTATGAACTCCTTCCTATTTAGCTCATGCCTCTGACTGAGGCCTACAGAGGTTCCCATACAGAAAAATCATGTGTGTTAGTTAGATGCAATTATGTGTGCCTTATAATTTCATATATTTTTCATGTATTGAAATATGCAGGCATATATGGTTGGAGCATATGATCCATGTAAGGATTATTCATAAAAGAACCATGCCAGGGCAGCATATATGTTCTGTATAAAAAAATTATACAATTTGAGGGATGGATTCCAGTATATAAGACATTATTTAATCCTTTCAGACCTGAATAAAGGCCAACATCAGAATAATATCTTTTTTTTTGCATTTTTGAGCTTTTTTGCTATTGTAATTTACATTTTTATGTTTTGTATATCGTTTTTATATTTTGTATAAATTTACCATATCATACCATATATAAAATATTGAATTACATAACTGAAGATTACAAAACTGACGGGTGTAAGAAGGGTGAAAAAGAAGAATGTTGGAATTGAGCCAAGCATAATTGCATCCATTGCAGTGTAATATGGGGTGCAAAGTCATGAGAATCCCAAGAAATTAAAATAGACGCAATGAAAATGCAATGTCCATTGGAATGGACGCCAGGTCTGAAAGGGTTAAAGTATATGGTTTTTACAAAGAACTTTCATATATTGTGATTACAGGGTGTGCGAGTAGAATTGGCGGGGAAAATACATTAAGGAAAAACATCTCTAAAATTTCTCATTTTAAACATTTATTGAAAATTCCAGAAACATCTCGTTCCATCACGAAATATCTACCTTGAATAAGTTATTTCGGTGGAAGTCGTAGTTAGTGTCGGAGGTCTGCTGGAGCCTTCGCTCTTGTCCGCGCAAAATGTTAGAGTCCTCTGTTTAGAACTTATGCCTGGCAGATTCTCTCCCTCAGCTCAGCTTTATTGTTACAGGCAGTCTTATTAGTGATCCTTTCAACCACGCCCCACACATAATAGTCAAGAGGATTGCAGTCAGGTGAGTCTGGAGGCCACATATCAGGGGTAACATGGTCAAAAAAGTTATCCTCAAGCCACTTCTGAGTTTTCCTGGCCGTGTGTGCTGGCGCAGAATCTGGATTTTACCTGTTTAAACTCGCGCCAATTCTACTCGCGCACCCTATACTTGCCACCTCAGGTCTCAGAAACAAAGTGGCTGCCATTTGTACCCTTATAACAATAAGTGAGTATCATCCCATGCGGTTGCTTGGTACCGATAACTCAATTTTGCAAAGGATGTCACTTGTGGCTTCATCCCTTTCAGCTGTCTGCACTATTATTGTGCTTACAGGTGGATGCAACAGCATGTGTCTTGTGATTCTAATTATGCATCATTAGCTAAATAAAGCAATGTGTTTCCTGTAATATTGTCAATGGGCAGGAAGGTGATCCATGAAATTGTGTCTGCATTGTGATTAATACCTTGAAAAAGTGAAGTATTTCTTCAGCCATTCTGTTGGGAAAGGAAAAGGTTGTGAAATACCTTATAGAGTGTCTAGAATTCATAGGTAGTCACTTTCAGTGAGTTTGTAGAGTACAGTTCAAGTAAAATACAGCAGCCCAGCTTGAGAGGGGCTCTAGAATTGGTAGGCAGGTTGCCTGAAACATGCTTGGTTTCCATATAATAAGAGTGCTACTGTACTTCTGCTCTCAAATGAAAAGACATATGGTACCAGATGAGTGGACACACTTTCTTTTTTATTCTTGTAGGGTAGTCAGTCACCTTAGCAAAGATTTGTGCATTTTGTGTAAAAAAAAATTATAATGCAGAGGATGGACTTGAGAAGGTGGTGGGCATAGGGTTGTGTGGGGGGAGGGAGGAAAAGGTTTGTTAGGGGAATAGGGTATGGCATAAGTGTCTGAGTGTCTTTTCTTCAAGATGTGCATGTGTGGAAAAAGGGAAGATTTAATTTCACAGTAATATATGATAGATCATTCAGGAAGACCATGTGCTTCATAGATGACTTTTCTACTTTTCTCTTGCTTCAGATTCCTTTAAGAGACTTTCCTGAATTGAATTGAATTGAATTGGGAATTTCCTGAATAAAACTCCCAATGAAACAATGCCTGAAACTAAAGTTACATTTGTGGTAAAGGGTGCCCAAAGTCACCAGATTATCACTTAGGCTTAGAAATATGAAAATTGTTTGTAAGAGTGGTAAAAATTTCCTTCAACCATGCAGAATCTTGGCTGGGATGTTTGAAGAGGCAAAGGAACCCCTGGAGATCTTGAAGCAAAATCGCCATTACTGGGAAGTGGCATCACGAGTGGCATTAAGTCGCAAGAGCAGCTGCCGGTCCTCCCTTGAGATCCTTGAGGATGACTCTCTTGTCAATGAAGTCCTCACTGAAGTCCAAGGTCATGGTCATGGTCATTTTCCTTCTTCACCCTGCCCAGGTCACAGCAGGCAGCCAAACTGACAGCAAACAATTTCATCTCGGTGACAGTACACTTCTGTGGTGGAGCATTCTGTACATAACCCTAGTGCAGCATATTGATCCAGCACATTGAGTAGGTCTAACAAGTTAGCAGAGACTGGCAGGACTTCCCTCCACATGCGATCAGCTGTGATAAGCATAATGTCTGTCATTTCCATGCATTCAGAAATAGTGATGCTAGTCAGACTATCCCTCAATTTTCATGAGTTGCTTGATTAGTCATGAGTATGAACTATACTAGTGCTCAAAAACCTTGCCTGCCTTCACACTTTTGTCATCAGACAATAATTGCACTCAGAAATGTGAGAATCCAATTCCTCCTCTTATAGAGTGACTTTGTCTATGAAAGAAACTTTAGTGTGGACAAGGTTTTTGAGCGAAGACTCACATTTGAATGACACCTTGAGTATTCTTGATGCTTCATAGTATCTTCGTTAATAGGACATGACCTCAGCAGAAAGTTTTTTTTGTCTGAAATCAGTTCTTGTCAACTGCTCTGTATTTTTCAGCTGCCTTTACTACTCCTCCATACAGCTCGTCCAGTCCCAGAAAGGACCAGTTGGCATGAACCCATAATGGGGTGATATTTCTTATGACTTGTCAAAGCCTGTCAAAGCCCAGCAGGAGACTGAACAGAGTCGTAAAAAGAGCAAAATAGGCGGGCTTGGAAGCTTAGCTACAAGAATTACAGCTACTACAGAGCTACAGTCTACAAGAATTCGCATGCTGAGAGATCTGTATCTCGGGTCGGGGTGGCCTGCCCCCCTCCCCGCTTGGAGCAGGACACCACTGAACCCACTCTTAGGCTGTGGACATGAATGGCATTTGGAGGAGAGGGAAGAAAGGAGTTGAGGGCTTGAATATGACATAAGAGCTACTTGGGCTCCTTTGTGGATTAAAAGTGGTCCTTTCTGGGCCTGAATGGGCTGTACTCATACATCTGGATAACTACATACTAATGTTTCTATCAACTATCATAACTTTTTCAGAGTTTTTGGCATTACATGCATTTTCTAGTACCATGCACAAATTCAATTCATCCTGTAGGCTACTTGAAAGCTGTATAAGACAAGGTCAGTTCCCATCTTGGGTACAATCCTTACCTTTCAAACTGCTCCTTATGTGGATTTCTGCATGATTCACATCTAAAGTCCTGTATGTACAACAGATTGAATTTTAAAGCCTGCCTAATCTTAGTAGCTACTAACTCTGTCAGATATTACATTGATTAGAAGCTACTAGGCATAGTCAAACTTTGGAAATTCAAATTTTTAAAGGAGATTGAAATATGAAGAGGCGTTCTTTGGGCTCCCATTTTTTCTTGCGTACAAAAGCACGATACTCAAATGCTCTCACTAGTTGGACTAAATGTACAAAGCAAACTTGGGTTATTTTGCTGGGTACAAAGTTCAGACATTTTCTCATTGAGCTATATCCTAGAGTTGGCTAAGTATGAAAGAGTTGAGGAGATGGCAGACTTCTGTCTTTTTCTTGATATGTAGCCCTGGTGCATGGCTTCATGGGATTCTACTTATGCTTCTGTGTCTGCTTCACTCTGAGGGGTAAATTTACATTATTTTTGGTCCCTAGATTTTGCTTGTGCACAGAAAATAAATAGAAGTTAAGGTACTACTTACAGAGATATTATTTTTTGTACGAGTTTAGTCAATGCCAGTGATCATTGCTGTGTGGGTGATAAGGGAACAGTGAATACAGGTAGTAAAAGTGATTGTTGATGCTAGCAAGATTTTGGCGTTGAAGGGGCATTTCGCTTTCTCATGGCAATAAGCTTCTTTCCTTCTCTTCTGCTACTGCTGATCTATATCAGATTTTCCTGTCATGAATTTGCGATCATTCATTGGATCTTTGGTCATATATGGCCATGACGATATGAAGATCTTCATCTTGTAGTGTTCACTTGAGCGATTTCTTCAGTTCCCATGTGCTCAAATAGGGAAGCGAGGCTGTAGTAGTGCTTCCAAGTCGACTCTCATTAATCCGGATCTCGGGAAATCGACGCTTTTATCCGGATTAAAAGCTCATCTTGGTTATTGAGACTCTGACCGAGTGACCACTTCTTTTTATTCAGCGAAGGCAACTGAACCCCCAGCACTTGCAAAATTGTGTTGTAAAATGCCTTTTTTCAGATATTTTTTTACATGAGAATGTGAATCACTGACTTGGTTTTTTCACATAATCCGATTGAAGAAATCCTCTCCAGAGTTTCTTTTTCCTGCTTTGATTCTTACGAAAATTTTCTCCCGTGTCAGATTACCCCGAGAACGATTACTCTTGAGGTAATGAGGCTCTCACAAGGATGGATGAGACTGATTTGGGAAGAGAGAGGTTACCATAAAGAGCGAAAGAAACGGTAAATGACGCAAGCAATCCTCATTACCCGATTCAGGAAAGGGGAGAAGTAGAAGGCGATTAGAGTTCCCCCCCCCCCCCTCGCGTCTCTTTCCAATCGCTGGGGTGAGGGGAAGTGGAGATGCAAAAAAAAAGGCTCTGGAATCCTTGTTTTCTTTTTCCATCTCTTCTGCTAGCAAGTCCAGATTAACGGGGAGAATAGCTGAGGGGCTGAAGAATTCGTCCGTATGAACGGGAGCCACGGAATGACGGCATTCGGATGTAACGTGGAATTTTATTAAGATTCTAAGAGATTTCTGCCGGAACAATTCCACTCGCCCGAATCAACAAGAGCGTCGGATCGCTGACGTTCGGATAAACGAGAGTTGACCGTTGCATCGTCCTCTTCTGCCTGCATTTTATTCTGACCGTGGCAATGTCTCTGGTTTGAACTAAGCAGCAGAGGAAGGGAAGTCCCGTTACCCCGATCTGCCAGTTGTAAATCCTCTCATTCCCGTTGCTCTTCGATCCCCCCCCCCCCCCATCGACCTTGCCCCTGCCATTGCCATTTCTCCCGACAGACCTCCTCCCCCATTCCAGATGTGATATTAGGTGATGATGATGTTGATGATTCCTTCGGTTTTCATGTTACATGCACTTTCATTGGCAATACTAGATTTGTCTCTTTGCTCACATCCCTTGTCTCGATGTTCTGTTGTTTGTTGGTGTTTTTTCCTCTACTTGCAAAAGAAGAGTTTTGCTGCTTCTTCAGCTCCATAAAGAGTTTTTCAAATTCCTGGTCTATTTTCACTCCTTTCATTCCCCATTTTCGTGGAATGGAACCATACATGAAAAACTCAAATTGTTCTATGCTCGTCACACTTTCCTCAAAAATACATGAGTAGCACTCATGTGTCCCTGCAAATTTTTCTTTAATGTTTCAATAATGAAATTGTTTGAGTCATTTGGAAATTAACCAGACATGCGTGAAAAAATGTTTGGCTCTTGAGGGAGATGGACATAGATAGAGGGAAAGATATTTCCACCAGTTTTGAGAGAGAACTGAATAGTTGAGATTGCATTCTTCCAGTGATGGAAAGAAATTAAATGCATGGCAGCATATTTCACTTCTCCCAAGTGTGCCATAAAGTAGGCCAATGTAAAGAGAACTTCATTAACAGCTCCTGCAAGAATAAGTGCTGAATTAATTTTCCTAGTATTCATGAGGAGTAAGAAGTAAAAGTAAAACTTCACAATTCTTCAGTTCAATTCAGCTTCAAAAATAATATCAATATATCCATGATTTGCTCCGTATAAGGCCAAAACGCTACTTCTACACAGTGTAGAAGTACGGGGTAAGACAAGAAACAGAGGTGACAGTGATGGGTTAATTACTGATTTATTAGCATTCGCCAGATTATATCCTTTCCAGTATTGTCTCTCTTTATTAAGAAAGAGGAATAACTCACTCGATTTCTCTGCTGCATTGTCATCGTCTCCCGACGAGTCTTTTGCGAGTGCCAGTTGCTTTTTTGTTACACTTCAGTTTGATTACTGGCGTGTAAGCGACTTGTCTCCATCGGTGGTCACGGAGCCATGCAATCACTGGTGGCATGGAGTGGACCAGCCAGGGGATGCCAACCTCTCAATCCCACTCATGGAAGACCCTCATTAAAGTCCTGCAATAGTGCCCAGTGCAGTACGTCGCAGTGAAATCACTCTTGTACCATTTCGAGTATTTTTAATTGCTTCGACTAGATCATGCGTGGAAAGTGCACCAGCAGGAAATATGCACGCTGAGTCCACTCCGGAACAGACTTGGTAGAGAGGGTGTTCGAGACTGAAGATGTCAGAACTATCCCACTTCGATGAACGGAGTGGAGTGGTGGAATGCAAGACGCCGTGGGGAACTTGGTATCAAACCGTGGCCGAAGTTCACATCCAGGTCAAGTTACCTCCAGGCACCAAGGGCAAAGAGGTGTCTGTTCGTGTCACGCCCTCTTCCATCTCCTGCCACGTCCGTGGCAATGAAATATTCAAGGTATTTGGTTATCAGTCTTGTAATCTAAAGTATTCGCTTTTGCGTAAAAAGAGATGCCAAGATTAATTTTGAAAGAAAATCTGACAGCACAATTCTCCGAAATAGAATATGTTGCAAATGAGTTCCTCACGAATAGCTCTCATGTGACTGATCTGAAGCAATAGGTGTATTTCTTTCCCCCCGCCGCCCCCCCTCCTTTAATCCACAGGGCCCCTTGCACAAGAAGGTAGTCGAAGACGAGACGGTGTGGACAGTGGAAGACGGAGGAAGTTTGCTTCACATTGTCTTGACCAAGGTAGATTCAGGTTCCAAGGACCAAATTTGGGCAAGTTTGCTCCAAGACCTCTATGCGCCAGATCCATTTACATTCCAGGAGATGAGGAAGAAACTAGATCTGGAACGGTTTCAAATCGAGGTCAGATAAAAGTGAGCTCAATTGACCTCGCTTGGCAGAGGAAAAATGCCACTTTCATGCTCTTTTTCCGTAGCACCCGGGGTTTGACTTCAGCGGCGCCCAATTGGACAAGGGCTATGACCAACTGCCACCAGAGGTGCTGAAGCAGGTCGAGAACCCTGACACTCCGTGATCTCAATTTTTCATTTAAGTGTATTGGCGATGCCCGAGCACGATTGATCCCTCACAAGCAATCTCGTGATGTTTGCAATGAAATAAAGAGTGCCTCGAACCGTGCGGTGACGTGCGGATTCGGTTAAAGGGAGCGGTCGCATTGACGGTTTCATTCGAGTGGCTTCATTCATAGGTTGATTTCAAAACGGCAGTTCAGTTGCAGTTCGGTTCTAATTTCAGTTCAGACTATAATCTGACTGTAGTTCCACTGTGGCCTAAGCGACTATTCTCATAACAAAATCCCAACTGGAACTGCGACTGAAATAAAACTGAAACTGAACTGTGACTGGACTGCGGTTTTGAAATCAGTCATACTGAAGAATTTGATCTTTGTCAGGAATTTACCAGCAGAAGAATCGACACTGGGAGTCGTGGAAGGTCTTTGATGCTAGGTGCTTTCCTCATAACGAGTCTTGTACCCATACCGTAGAGCAAAAGCAAGTTAACCGAGACCCATTAGTTTACCTCGGTTAGGTATTGAAACTACCGTTCGGCACTATCGGCTCGATGCTTGAGCCCACAAAGAGACGAAATGCTCCTGAGGAATGGGATAGCATCGGGATTTCACTCGAGTAGTTGGGTCATTCTCGTATTGCAAGATTTTCCTCTCTCGCTTGAGCCCGACAAAAACGGGACGAGGACGAAAACCCCCATTCCCATCCATCCGAGAGCTTCACCCAGCCCACGTGTTCCCCGGGGGCCGATCGAGATTCGTCCGCGCTATCGCTGGTGAGGGGACTAGACGGAGTCGATCTCGTACCTTCCTCCGACGCGAACGCCCAGGCAATGCAATGGCTGAGAAGTGAGGTCAGCGACGACAAACCCTCCAGGGTGAACTGACTATACCTTTAAGTGCCAATGAGAGGCGGGGGCCGCGACGTGACGTCTCTGATCACGTGATTCTATTTCATAGGTGGCATGATGCCCCGGGGGGGAGGGGGAGCGGGGAAGAGTGCCTCCGCCTTTCTTTACCGGAGTCAGTTCACCCGCACCGCGTGGCTTCAAGCGACGGCCGTGCATCGGAGAACCGTCACGGGTTTCCGCCATCTCGGAGGCGCCTAGGTCCCCCACGCTCTGCATGCTTAAAGATTTGACTCGTGGAAAGCCACATTTGGCACATGATCGCACGGTTGATGGGTATCTCTTATACATCGTACTTGTCGAAAATAATAGAACTTCGGGAGACCAATGACACAACGGTAAATTCGGAATAGACCGCCTCCTTTCTCGCAATCTTTTATCACACTTTTGGCGATTTAGGGCCGATACGCATCGACTACGAAGGGCTGCGGCAAAGCCGCACTGCGACCGTCTGCGCAGTTATTTCTTGACTACGACCGTACGCGAAGCATCTCCCACACTGGTCGCAGAGCTCTCAATCGAAATTCCAATGGCTGTGTACAATTTCAGAGCTCGTGCTGCAACACTTTTTTCTTTTTTGCGGCCCAGGGGGGAAAAAGCTCTCGATGGTGGTGGGTACGTCTTGTACACAGTTCCCGCCATCAGATGGGAGAATTCGCGACTCTAATGGAAGATATTATCATCGAAGACAAGGAGCTTTTTTTCCTCCTATGTCCATGATAATTTCTCCTGCAGGGACGTAGCCAGGAATTATTTTCGGGGGGTGTCTTGTGAGGCTCTTTCAGGCTCATGAGACGACGAAGTGCCCCCCCCCCCTCCCCCCCGACTCTCATTCTCCTTGTTTCATGAAATCTTGCTTCTTTTCGAGGGCTGTCCAGGCACCCTCGACACCCCCTCTGGCTGCGTCCCTGATCTCCTGAGCTATCGAAGACTCTTCTTGGTCTACTGGAGGAGATGGCAGGAAACAAACTTCAGACCATGCATTCCCCCAGTGCAAACGGTGGCAGTGACACTGAGGTGGGTAAATGCATACTTCACATAAATATTCTGTGCATCACAAATACTTATAAACTAAGCAGCATTCTCTTAAAGGATGGTACGACTCATGCTTTTGCACTCGAAGAACAAGTGCTTCTCGACTTAAAATAAATAAATAGATTAAAATTCATGGATCGAAACAATGGAAAATAATCAAGAATATAGTTGATATCGCGACCTTTCTTGGGGTATTTATTTACTATAGCCATGTATCTCGGTCGTGGAGATTCAATGATGATTGACATCATCTACCGCCGAAGTCATCCCGCCAGAAGAGCCGCCAAATTAAGTGTCCAAGGATTCCATAATTTGCAGTCCAAAGACACGCCTCACGAACCACTGCTGGGATGCGACAGGAAAGGACTCGTCCGTTGCGAAGCGTACTGCGACCGATTTCAAAGAACTGCGACGGTCGCAGTGGTCGCAACGCAGCTCTTCGCAGTCGGTGTGCATTGGCCCTTGGAAGGAGAGGGGGGGGGTGAGGGGGAAGGAGTATGCGTATTGCTCTGTGACAAAACTATCGTAACGGGGAGTGAAGCCGGTGCTACGGAAGAAGGAAGTTCAATAGTCGAGTTTGAAGGACTTGGTTACTTTTGAAAGTAACCAAGGGTCGATGTGGGGTTGGCGCTCAAATTCTTGGAGAAGCACTTCTCTTTCCGCGAGATTTAATTGCCGCGATTTGACGTTGCCGGGTCAGTTCGTAGGCTGAAAATGTTACCATCGGAAACGGCGTTGTGATGTTCTTTATTAAGCATAATAATCAGCATCTTTCACGAAATCGGTGAAAATGCCGAGCTTGGCGAGAATCGCCGATACGTGCAACCTGACGATTCTTCGCTGCTCTCGGGTCAGGAAACCTAATCTGATAATTAAAAAAAAAGGGAAGGGGCATGATTACATTTTTTGAAAGGGGCCAGAGTCAACACCAATAAAGCCCGTTTATCGTGCAACCTGACGATTCTTCGCTGCTCTCGGGTCAGGAAACCTAATCTGATAATTAAAAAAAAAGGGAAGGGGCATGATTACATTTTTTGAAAGGGGCCAGAGTCAACACCAATAAAGCCCGTTTAAGACGCGGCGAAATTTCTAGAATTAACGCTGGAAGTAACGAAAACATAAGCTCGTGAAACCGGGAAAAAAAGGCGAGAAAGCAAGAAACGGTCAGACAACTCCCAACTCGTGTCTGCTGGCTCCACCGGGCTTTCCTGCTATTTCATTCGCCCCATTCAGATTCCTCCCTCCGGCCAATAGGATCAGGTGATACAGGAAAACGAGAACGCACGTACGATTGAGAATTCACGAAGAAATGCCACACCCGAAACGGCTGGAAAGTCTCCTGCTGAAGCCGTTTCACGCATAGGAAAATTTTAATGATCGTGCCGATTTCAAATTTCGCAAATCTCGCAAATTTCGCCTTTCGAGTCGAAGCGCTTCTGGAACATTTGGCTCACCCCAAGACCCAAGTTGTGTGGCATGTCAGTGTCTCGACCCAATGACTCACAATGACTTCCGGTTAGCAAACTGAAGTGGGCAAGACAAAGGAAACGACCGTTACTCCCTGTACCTTTAAGTGCCAATGAGAGGAGGGGGCCGCGACGTGACGTCACTGATCACGTGATTCCATTCTGTAGGTGGCATGATGCCCCGGGGGGAGGGGGAAAGATTGCCTCCACCTCTTACCGGAGTCAGTTCTCCCGCGTCTCGCTCAAGGGCACAGGAGGCCTATGGGGCTGGATCACGTGATCGGTGACGTCACGTCCAGATTCTGTTTTCTCATTGGCGCCTACATATGCCACGATTAACGGTCGTTTCTGGCGCCATGCACACGTCAGTTGATCTCTCACCTCCTGTGTGTACGTTCCTGTCTCCCTGTACTTCGTTCTCGAGCCAGGTCTGTTTTTAGTTTTATGCATTTGTTTAGAGAATAAGTATTATACATACCAAGTTTCGGAAGACGCCTTTCTTCCTAAGGCAGACTATGAATGTTGGAATGCGCTGTGCAAGGTTTAAAATGTGCAGTTGCTTCATCAAAGTTACGTTTATGCCTGTGCTAAAGCCTGTCGTTTCATTAGATGCACCTGCTTTCATCCGACTGTTTGGAAGTAATCCCAAAGGGTAGTGTTTAATCTATCTAATCGAAGTTGACATGTCGAAGCAGCATCTCATTTTAACAGTAATCGAACGAATTGCGTAATTGCACGGTCGTAGTTCAGGAATAGACCTAATTTTATGACGTTGCACTCGCAGGGAGGGGTCTGATGACCTTTAGGGCCTAGTTGCGAGTTCTTCCTCGTTGGCTCGGCACACCGAGTCATTAACTCACCATTTTGCTTTAGACTCAATTTTTCTATAGTTTCCTCAATCTCAGGGACTTGGCATTTTGTTTCCAGTTTCCACGACGTTAAAACCTGCTCCTCGAGGTGACGGGTGTATCCATTTTGTTATCGGGCGTGACTACCAGGATACGGAATCGCTCCATATTTGGCATGGCAGTGCTTGAGAGCATGGGTTTTTTTAAATAAAATTGTAAACTTTGGACATAGAGGCATCTGTTTCCGACCAATGTAAAATTAGGTTATATGTACGTGGATCTCAACAAAAGTTATGGGATACTCGACAACTAAAAACCAAATTGGGATGAAAATGTGTGAACATAAATCAGTACTACATGACATTAGAGTAAGTGAGTAGTTTGAGTAATATTCACAGAAGTATTCATCTTGTAGTAATTTTTCAGAAAGCATGGAACTGTCAAATATGGATTTTTCGAATGATGATTTTCTATGACTTCAAGGGTGGTCTAAAGCAGAAGCAATCACTCGCCTCCTTACAAACAGCTTTTGGGGCCAAGCTCATTCATGTGCAACTGTCTTTCGTTGGTTTGCTGAGTTTAAGCGCGAGAGAATGAGCTTTGGAGATGATCCCCGCTCAGGAAGACCGCAGCAGCAGTCACTCCGGCCAGCATCACCGCTGTAGAGAAGCTAATCCAGGTGGATGCCCGAGTCACCTACGAAACCTTGCGGGAGACCCTAGGCAGCAATTACCGCCATCCTGCACGACCACCTTGGTCACCAAGCGTTGTGCTTGCTGGACCCCTCACAACCTCTCTGAGGGCCAGAAGGAGGCCACCATCTGCTTCCCGACACTCCGAGCGAATTTGAACTTGACGGGTGGGCTATCTCTACGGAA